TCCATCTTTAGGTTTACCCTTATAGTTGGACATTGTCTCATCATGAGAATGGACTTTGAATAATTTGACAATGTCGGACCATCATTCACAACTTTGTTTTCTCCTTGAACCTAGAGGTTGGGTCTGCCAATCCTGCTTAGGTAGAGTTACCGCCATGATGATTTGTCCTAGGCCACGAGTCCATTCCCTTCGATGCTTAAATTAATTTCTAGATGGGCCCCACGGTTGTTATCACTTGATCTAAACTGATCATCTCCGATAACTTTGCTAGAAATTAACCAATCAATAATGTTATGTTTCTACGACGAGATTTTCACATAACACTTCTAGCCCTTGCAATAACCATTTTGTGCACAAATGCATTTTATTAACGCCAGTCTTTGCGGGCCAAACTACTCAACTTCACGGGTCTTAGAGTTTAACTTGGACGTTTTTCCAAGATACTGCTCCTCGTTAACCATAAATGCCTATCCATTAATGGACTATGGCTTTTGGTTCACCCAATGAGTGCCTTTGGGTAAAATTCACCAAAGACTCGTCTCTTTTCTATTCACTACACATCATGTGTGTTTGCCTTAATTTTATTGCCTTGCAATAATCATAACACATGCCAACGGTGTTGAAGTCTCTCTACTTCATTAACCTTAGAGTACTTGAGTTTCACAAGTATCTCTTCAAATGTAGTGACATCTATGACTTAACTTAGGGTTTACGTAAAACTCCTAAGTATTCACATCACTTCACTTGGGAATCACCCAAGCGACATTCCACATCACTTCTCCCCAATTTATCCCCCACATTTCAACTATTTCGCCATAGTTGTTGAAACCAACGTTTCCGGTTTGGGGAATGTTGTTCATATACATTCATGTATATGGTCAAAATCATCTCTTTGGGAAGAGTGGATCAACATCAATAAATATTCTAGCTCTCTGACATAACGTCAATATATGCTAGAGTTTGCTCATAAGTTATACCCTTGGGACTGGGTTACCTCCATAAGGTTTAAGGACTCTCACTTTCTCATTGGACACCTTCATACTTTCAATTATGACTTCGCTTACCTTTCCACTTTTGTCTTATGGATAGGTTTGCGTCCCATTGTAGGGTCTTGAGATAGTAGCCGAAACAATGGCTAGCTCTTCTCCCCCACAATTTTACCCTTTGCCAAACATCATGGAATAATCCCATTTATTTTCCATGGTTTTACTTATTGAACTTGCCAACCACTATATGTTTCTAATTGTTTACCAATGGTATGATCTCACTCGATTAGCATACCACAAACAATTCATATTTTATTAGAAAAATCATCCAATTACTTACCAATGTTATTGATCAAGGCAACTTGAGACATCATAAGTAATTCTTATGCATTCCAGTAATGGAAATCTCATCTAATTACTTACTAATGACATTTCATCTATGTAACATGATATACCACAAGTAATTCAAACAAATTTCTAATTCAATTGCCTATTACTTTCCAATGGTATAAACTTCATAAATATACCATAAGTAATCCAGTCTTTAAGTTCAATCAGATCATCTCAATTGAGCTCTCATTCCAAATTGTTTTCCAATGATATACATCTATATATACCATAAACAATTCTGGCAATTAGCTCCACGTTGATAATCATAGTCAAATTGTTTTCCAATGGTATAGTGTACTTATACCATAAACAATTCTGACCTAATGTTTATCTTGATGACGACGATCATTTGGCAAGCTTATTAAATTCCTATAAGGATCAATCACTTCATTTTCCTTGCCCTCGTGGCATAGGAAACATCAAGTCCTAAATCACATACATATTAAACAAATTATTACGTCTTCACAAGCATCTTAGGAATTAAAATTCATTATCGCTTATGGCTTACTCGTAATGCAATCCTTTAAACATGCATTAACCAAATTCCATTTTCAACACATTGGAGGTATACTCTTTCATAATTATGTTCAACTTACTTTGAACATAACCTATGCAAACATTCTGGCTTAGATAGCCTTGACAAACAAGTCCCTACTAACCTCTCGTCATGGGTTTCACATACCTATGATTGTTCATAGTTTCCCACTAGATAGTTTATTACTATCCAAACCACAAATACTTAAAGTCCATGTAGGACTATCATAAGTACTTCCATCCTCTCATGCACCACCTTGAATGAAGTCCAAATTAAATTGGCACATTTATCATTCATCCATGCCACAAAAATGAAATGGACCAATGAAATAAAAGCATTAAAACTTTGTGGTTAATTTTGGAACCAAACAAACTCGTAAGGTTTTATCCAACTAATTTACCACTTGGGAGATAAGAACATTTGTCCTTTATTCATCATGTAAATACACGACTTACATAGGTACACACATATTAATACCATATGTATATACACACATACATATGTCTACTCCTCAAAGGAGATTACAATACATATACAAAATCCTAAGGATTCTTGGGGTCGAAGTCGGGATCAGAGAGACATTCATCGGTCTCTATGTCGGAGTACTCATCCTCCTTCTCCGATTCCTCAACTTCCTCTTCTTCCCCCCATACTCTCCATCGAGTTCACATGGGTGCCCAAATCGTCCACATTGGGACCCATTGAGTACCAATCATAGATGGGTATTTCATCTAGAGTCCAATAATTGATTGGATGCTCTCCACCAATGTCATTATATAGCCAATCCCCGCTATCGTCATAAAAATCGAACCACTCTTCATTGTCAAACTCCATTTCGGGAGTAGAGAGATCAATGATCTCCGGATCTGATTCAATATTGATGACCTCAACGACGGCATCGTCATCTTCATCAACATTGACGGGGTGCTTCGGCTTTGGAATACTTCAAGCCATCTTGTCCAATTTACTTCAAGAGCGCAAAGTGAATAACAGAATCATCTCCATCATGCACACATTGAGAATATACTCATATATATAAAGGCCTATTTATTGTATGGAAAGCAAACGTTGCCGAGTATAAATATACATAACAGTGGCATGCAATGCAATGAAATATATATCATTCATACTTATCCTTGAGTCAGAAAGGAAAAGGGAAGAATGGTACCAGTTTCTAGTGATTGTCGCCTGTCGGAAGTCTGTTTTTTTTTTCCTCTTTGGAAATCAACCAAAAGAGAAGAAACTACCCAGTAAAGCAAGCAGTCTTGCTTATGGAGAATCGAAGGAAAAGCACAAGATTTTAAACTCCTCCGATCATGATTCCGCCACTACTTAATTATAGTGCACAGTTTTTTTTTTCCGAAACGAGGCAACGCTTCAGTGGTCACACGACCATGGTTCAAAACTTCAAATTCATGTCCAACTGCCGCTGTTCACATCCACTAATAACAAACATACGATGCTTTGCAATGCAAAAGGTCACAGAACTACTTGAATAAACATTAGTAATCAAATTTATGAACCAAAGATAAAAAAAAATATGCAACATCGCGTGCATGATGACTTTGTTGAATTATATTAACCAACTACAATGCATGGCATGAAATTCCAAACTTCCAGAGACATGTCTAATTAAGCATGCAACTTGAAGACAGAACCATCATGCAACATTGAATATACAGGACCGAAAGGGATATATATCTCTCTTATTTTATGCATGCTATATCAATCACAAGTCGAAAACAATTTCATTGCATGGTAAATTGAAAACCAACTAGTGCCGTGAACAATTCTAAATAATAAGATTCTTTAAGATTGTTGTGAAAAACTTGTTCACGTATACTATTTTTCTTGCAACACAAGTAAACACGTAAGAATAAGAAAACATGCAAAGACATATGCAAGCGTCCTAGCCGATAGAATTCACTATCTCTCCTTAAAGAATCTTATTCCCCTCTAGTACCCAAGGTTATGGAATGATTCCTCCTAGGATAGAAAGGACGTACCTTTTCGGGCGTAGCGGTACCTCAAACCCCAGAACCCATCGAACGCAGCGAACCGGCGAGAACCACACTTGACTCTATTTTCTCTTTGAAAAGAATGCAGAAAACTAGTTTTGGATTTTGGCAGAATTTTGGTACCGGGAAAAACCCATGTAAAAACCAAAGAGGGTTAGGTGCTATTTATAGAAAATGAAGGGGTGCATTGAAGGGAGGCGACTCTTCATATGGGTGGTTACACCCCAGCCAACACATTGGTTCACGTGTGAAATAATGAACCATTGCATCTGTTCGGCTCATGGTAGTTGGACCGGTTTGGTTATTCCAACCGCCAAATCAGTTCGGTTCGATTTGGTTCAACTCGGTTTGGTTTGATCCGTTTGGTACACAAACCAATTTAACCGATTAACCACATATTACATCAAATCGATCGAATTCGAGGCCGTGCCTTCCCACATCTTACCAACATGGTACTTCAAGAGATTCTCTTGAAACTTTCCCCTTTTATTTCCATTCACACCACTAAAAATCCCAACAGAAGGACGTACCGGTAGTACGTACCACGTGGGAGCAAGAAGACGAACTGGAGCAAAACTCCCCTGTCAGGATTGGCTATTCCCCACTCAAGGATTACGAGGAGCAACTCGGGGATTCAGATAGGAGAGTTCCCCGGTCAGAAGATACAATTCCCCACGACCGGGGGATCGGGTTGATGGGTTGCTATTACCATTTTTGTTTATTAGGATCTCGTGCCTTTTATGTGTTTGGATTAGTTTGTTGTTTCCCTAGCCTATATAAAGGCTTAAACTCAAGATTTAGGGAGACTTTGAAGAATATTGGATATATTTCTTAGTTCCCTAAGTTTTTAGCTTGTGAATTGTGTTTTGTATCAATCGAGTTTTTCCTTTGATTGTGGTCAAACTTCTACCCTATATTGATAGAGCCTTCTTACAGGTGTGAGATTGCACTTCAATTCTGCCTTATCTCTAGTTTTTTTTATTCATGTTCGTTGTTGTGCCACTTTGATAACTATGTGCACCGGTTCAGTGCTCGTATAAACTGGTATATCAAAATCCTGGTTTAACACAATGACGAGAACAAAGTCTAGAGGGCATGTTGCTTCTTGTACGAGATCCAAAGACCCCATAGCCATGAGGATTGGGTTTTTGGGCCCATTACTCCGTGCCACCACGCGTGCCATGCATATCCAAATTTGACTAAGTATGGGAGCCACCCCCATGACACGCAGAGGGGAGTGGGCATCATACCACCACCCTGAGGACGTGACAAGGGGGTGGACATAATACCGCCACCCCATGACATGATGATGGGGGTGATTGCCGAATTTGGCTAAGGCAAGGAGTATGGGAGCCACCCCCAAGAGGTACAAAGGGGGGTGGCCATCATCGTACCACCCCCAGGAGGTACCAAGGGGGGTGGCCACCATACTACCAGCTCCCATGAGGATGATATAGTGGTGGGGTGATCCATATGATCCCATGGGGGATGCCTCCAATGATATGGTGAAGGGATCACCAACGTACCACCCCCATGGTATGATCAGGGGGTGGGGGGTCACCAACGCCGGCTCCCATGAGGATGATATAGTGGCGGGAGTGATCCATATGACCCCCATGTAGGATGCCCAATGGTATGGTGAAGGGGTCACCAATGTACACTCCCATGGTATGGCTAAGGCAAGTGGGTCATGTGAGCAGGTGGTAAGTGGTATTTCTTTATGCCTTGGCCATTTTTACTCTATGGATAAGCAAAACTACGAAGGAGATGCCAAGAGCAGAGGTTGAGGTCTCAAGAGGAGGAAGTCAAGACTGAAGAGGATCCCACATCCAACATCAAGGTAACCGTCATAGCAATTGAGTGGGTAACCGTCACTCCACGTCAGCAGAGCGGTTTCTTGGGCAGTTACTTCTGGTGGCTATAAATAGGAGGTGAAGATGACAGAGAAAGGGTTCGCCAAAATCACACCAGACAACCTATTGTCAAATTTTATTCTTTTATCTTTACCTTTTCCTCTGCAAATGTAGCCATAGTTGTAGTTTCGGAGCTCTCGCTGAACCTCCATAGGAGTAGAATTAATGTAATTTAGTTTGCCTCGTACATCACCAAGAACATCGAACGCCCTTGTTTGAACTTTGTTCAAAGAGGTGTGGACCGTGTTTCTTAATCGTTTATTTGGAAGTCAAAAGGGTGCAAAATCCAATTCTGTTCATCTAATTTTTCTCACCGGGAAAACAACTACGAACTCTGGATTTCCTCAGCTGCAGTCCTTCTCCCCAATCATCATCGATCTCCCCATTTCTTTACAGTTTCCAATCAGATTCGATCTGCAGCCGGGATATACATCTATATAAACGGATGTCCGAAGACAAATAGGCAATTAAGTCGCTAGCACTAGCACAGGAAATGGGTGATGCGGTGCGATACAGAGGCGTCAGGCGGCGGCCGTGGGGAAAATTCGCGGCGGAGATTCGCAACACTAACAATTACGGCGCCAGGCTCTGGCTCGGAACTTTCAGTACCGCCGAGGAAGCTGCCAGAGCATACGATGGTGCCGCTTTCTCGATGAGGGGCTCTCTTGCCATCCTCAATTTCCCCGACGAATACCCTCCAACGGCCGCGCCAGCTGCTGCCCGTACAGTTGCGAGCGACGTCACTACTTCTTCATGTTCAGCTTCTTCTTCTTCTTCGTCAGCATTGTTACCCTTTTCGTCTCAGCGGGGGGCGGGCAGAGAGCAAGGGAAAGAAGTGTTCGTGATTGAGTGTATGGATGATAAATTGCTTGAAGAGCTTCTTGATTTCCAGGACGATGACCGCAACTATCCCAAAGATTAATGAATTGGTAGGTCCCGCCATGCCAACTGGAGGGAGTGAAAGCCCTCCGAACGTAGCTCTGTTCTAGGCCTACTGTAAATGTCCATAGCTTTTGTAGCACAAGTAGGTTTTCTCTGTTTTTGTTTTCTTTCTTCGTCCATTTGTTGGTTTACGTCCATGGGGAGATTTTTAGTGGGTTGCTGTTTGTACTTTCTGCTACAAGTTGTACATTATTGTGGGATTTAAAATTTCAAATCAGCTTTAATAATTCTAAGTGTTGACTTAAGTGAGTTTTAGATTGTATGGATGGTAAATGAGGTAATTTGATACAATTGTGTAGCATTAATTGCAAATACTTGTCAAATTTTTTTTCAATTCAAATTGATGCAAACGAAGAAATTTAAATGATCTCAACTCAACTATGTACTGTCAAATGAGACAATTTGACTACATTGGTTCATTTCGAGGTAATTGGATCAAATCGCCTCATCCATTTACTAATCTTTCCATTCTCTCTCATCTTTTCCAAACGCTCCAACTTCGCTTTAGTGTTACTTTAGTTTGGAGGGGGTTGTGGCCGACACCTCTTGGTTACTGACAGCAGCCCATGACCCTCTTCCTTTTCATTTTCTTCCTTGCCCCCACACCTTACTGTAGGGGTGGGCAACTGGTTCGGTAAACCTGAATCGAACCAAAATAAAATTAAACCAAACCGAACCAAAATAATGCTATTCGGTTCGAAATTTGGAAGAAAAATATGGATATTTTAGGAAATCAGGGTTCTTTTAACCAAACCAAAATTCCGAATTTCCGACCGAAAAATTGAATTACTATAATTGCAAGCTCCAAATGGTGAATTTTTATGTTTGTAGTTGTTTAGAGACTTATAATGTTTTATGCCTTATGTGTTGAAATGTTTGAGTTTATCATTGATGATGCATATAATTGCATATTTATTGTTTGTATTAGGGGTGAAAAATAATTTAAAAGGGAGAAGATACAAGTAGCCTCACAAATTCGATTGTGTGAAATTCCGAACCTAACCGAATTATAATTCGATTTAGACCTACCAGACCGAATGATAATTCGATTCGAATTTGGTTTGAAGTTAGGTGGAATTCGGGGACAAGTATTCATAATTTTTGTTCGGTCAAAACCGAACCGACCGAATGCACACCCCTACACCTTAGTTTTAGGCGATTTTCCTCGTATTTCCATTAGTTTAGCTTTTACATCTGTTATGGCCTTCCTTTTTCCTTGTTTAGTTCTAAGGTTCTTATTTGGGTTTGCTATCCTTTGGGGCTAGATTATGCATCTTGAGAGACTATCAAAGGTTATTGGTGGGTTTCTCTCAAATTGGTGGTTTCATCATCCATGGTGAAATCATTCACCGTTGTCCCTCTCAATCCTCCCCTGATGGATTAGATCTGATATTCGCTGATTTTAAGAGTGTGGATCGTGGAGTCTTCTCTGATTTGGCTATGGTGGCTTCTCTTTGGACTTAGGGATTCAATTTCTCTTCTTTCCTTGGACGAAGAAGTGCTACTCTACTGCCTTGTCTTTTTAACTCTGAGCAATCCGATTCTTAGCCATTACTAGTACCATGTAATTGACAACACTCTATTTATAATGTTTATCACTTTCATATTTGATACATTTCTCTTCTATCAATGCATCTTTAATGGTTGCTATTATATTTCGTATGAAATTCATAGCTATTTGAATAATGTGCTTATGACAGACCTTGAGTATTTTTTTAACTATTAGAATGCCTTTTTTGTGATGTTTTGTGATCTTTGATGATATAATGCACTCAAGAGGAATATGGATCACCAAGGGACCCAATGGATCACAAGGAGAATGAGAATACAAGCTTATCGGATCAAATAAAAATGGATTGGGACACGCGTGCTGACTTTAAGGCCAAAGCAAAAAGATTTGGTACTGCAGCAAGCCCAACATTGACTGAGGCTCCACTTGAGTTCTATTAGTCGGAAGGTGCAAAAAATTTAGAGGAGAGGTAGTTTGTGGGCCAAGAAACCAAGCCCAAGTGGAAAAGGGGTGTCGTCCCCAACCATTGCACCTCCACCTCTCGTGCCCTAGCTCTTCAGAGCCCTCCTAGAGACGACTCTAGTTCTAGACAAAGTGTACTCAATAAGTTCATCTCTGTTATAGGAGCGAAAGAAGTTGTCATAACAATGTCGGAAGCCCTGATTGGGATGTCTAATCCCCTAAGATAAATAATGATATGATCCAAATTAGCCACTTCTAAAATTCAGAAGTACTTGCCAAAGAAGTCATCTCAACTCATATGAAGATTTTCCAGGGCTGCTTGTTAACAAGTTTTGCCCAGTCTTTGTGTTGTACTCTTAATTCTTGATTCAATTTAATTAATGAATGTCACCCTTATAAAAAAACTCATATGAAGATTCCTAATTTTCGGCTAAGTGTTTTAACTGTTTCAGGTAGCCTACTCTGGAGGCTTGGTTCTCACAATTGGCTCAATGAAAATTCAAGATTCATGGCTTGTATTGCAGATGGAATGTTTATCTACACATTGGTATGCTTGGAAGATCGAGGAGAAGTCAGGAATTTCATTTTCCAAGCTGCTCAAAATTGAGTACATCTTATGTGACGAAAAAACCCGTCACGATCAAGCTTATACATGTTAGGTATACATTTCATAAGGTGTTACGTAAAATTTTTGAAGTGTTGCCTAAAATTGTGTTGCATATAGAGTATATTTATGCGACACATTTTTTTGTTGCGAAAAGTACCAAAAGTGTTACCTATTACTTTATACAACACCACCTTTAGATGACAATACTAAAAGTATTGCATATTGCATATGCAACACTTTCGGCAACTTTTGCAAAACATTTCAAGTGTTGCCAAAGACCACTTTTTCCGTAGTGATCCTAGGTTGGCTAGATAACGAACCCTAAACCTTAAGTAGGGTAAGCCTAGATCCCCGTGGTACGATAAATTCTTATTGCTTGCTTGCCCTATGCTACACCCGGTCGGCGGTTATACTTGGTCGTCGATCGGGATGTTCTAGTTAGAACGAGTCAAGTTTTTGGCGCAGTTGCTAGAGAGTTATTCTAGGTTATTTGAAAAAGGGTTAGGTCGTTACTTTAGCGGTTTTTTTTTATGTTTTGTGTTTGTTGACCCACACTCTTCTCTTGAAGGGTGGTTTGTTTTTGTTTGATTTTTTTTTTTTTGTTTTTGTTTATGTAGGTTGAATCATAGATCCCAATGGCTTCTACAACATGTGGGGGTATCCACAACCACCCGAATGGGGGTACCCCGGTGCTTCATGGGACGATCAAGAGGGTGGAAACCAAGGAACCGGATTCTATGATCAACCTCTCATCCAAGATGAACAATCATAACATTGGGGATATCAAGAAGCTCCACCATATGAAGAAAACTTCCCTCCTCAAGTCAAGAGAAATCCAAGTTGGAGTTGGCAACGGAAGCTTTCACGGGACATACCTCAAGACCATGTGCCACTGCACAACCAGTCTAGAAATTTGGATGGTAAAATTATGTTTTGTTACTTTTATATGTTTTGCCGCACACTATATTACCTAACCTTTCAAAATGTTTCAAATCACTCATTGTTGAAATGTATTTGAATTTGACAACATATACACTAGACATGTATTTGAAAATCACCTCATAAATTTGACACAAATCCAAATATCAAATGTAATTAATATTCAAACAAATAATTTTACATTTAGAAACTCAAATCTAGATACCACATCCAAATCCTTCTATCCAACAAACTCTTAATTTATGTTTACAAAGTGTCTCGTCTAAGTTCAATGCTGGGTTTGAGGGTGGTTTGAGTTTGTTTCTTTTACATTTTGCTAGTTAGTTAATTTTCACTCTGAAGCAATGCACTTCTACATGTCTGCCATTGTAACAGTTTTAGGCTTTTAGCCTACATCCCCAGGCCAAGAGTATTCATTGATTGTACGTACTTCCACTGTTCCAAGATGCAAACTCGATAGTTGAATTAGGAAAGTATTTTTATTTTTATTTTTTGAAGAACTTGTTTTAGAACAAGAAATTATTTGCCATGTTATTCGGCCTCTATATTGTTTTGGAAAATTAGTACTAGCTAGTTGATATTTAATATTTCAGTTATATATCCAAAATAAAAATGAAAACCCCAATTTTGAATGTGTAGCAGAATGGGATCAAAGACCTTCTGGAGTCCATTGTCGAACATGAGTTATATAAAGGGCGTTCGTGAATAGGATGATCCAACTCTTCAACCTCCATCATCATCATCATCAGAAGGAAAGAGACATCTCTCTTCACACCATGGAAGCCTGGAATTTCCACAATAGTAGTTACGATCACCATCAGTTTCCACAATCCGAGTTCGAGTACTATTTCTCGCCGCCGCCGCCGGAATCCACGTCATCATCATTTGCCACTTCAGCATCCTGTCTCGACTACTCTTTCACCAGCTCCAGCTGCTGCTGCTGGGGTGACGACTTCCTCAATATGCCACCCCACGAAGAAATCACGGCGGCCAAAGAGGAGGTGCCGGCGATGATCCCTACGGGCGGAGCCAGCGAACTGTTCCGCCACGGTTACTATTCGTCCGAGTCCAGCGACAGCTCACCGGTGTCTGCAGAGTTGACATCCGACGAGGCGACGCCGGCGTACAGAGGGGTGAGGAGGAGGCCGTGGGGGAAGTACGCGGCGGAGATACGGGACTCGACGCGGAACGGGGTGAGGGTTTGGCTGGGGACGTTCGACAGCGCGGAGGCGGCGGCGCTGGCCTACGACCAAGCCGCATTCGCCGTCCGGGGGTCCATGGCGGTGCTCAACTTCCCCGTGGAGAGGGTGAGGGAGTCGCTGGAAGGGATGGAAGAAGCAGCCGAAGAGTGCTCGCCGGTGCTGGCCATGAAGCGCCGCCACTCCGTCCGAAGGAAGTCAACGTCCAAAAAGAGCAAGGAGCGGCGGGGGAAGCAGTTAGTGGAAGAAGGTTATGCTGCTGCCAATAATTATAGTAGTAGTAGTAATAACGACGTCCATTCCAAAAGTGTGACGAAATCAGCGGCGGCGGAACAGAGCAATGTGGTGGTGGTGCTGGAGGATCTAGGAGCCGACTATCTGGAGGAATTGATGGCGGCTTGCACCGACAGCCATCGCTAACATTATTCCGGTTATTCCGGCCCGCTGCTTCATTTTTTGGACCAATGACATAAATATTGTTTTTTTTTTTAAAATTTACCACGAATATGGCCAATTAATAACTATTGACAAAGATATTGTGTTTTATACATCAGAATTGGCGGGTACACCTGAGACTCAGGCGCCGCCGCTTAAGACTTGGTTTTTGGCCCGCTTTATTAGACTCGGGCGGTGGCGCCCCAGTCTCAGGCGGCGGCGCCCGAGACTGAAGCGAGTAGGTGGGAAATAAGACTCCGGTGGTGGCGCCCGAGACTGAGGCGAGTAGGTGGATTGGCCACCCACCCTATAAAACCCAGACAGACATTTCGTTTCAGATTCACACCACAAAAAAAATCGTCCAAAATAGAGGAGAGAGCTCTGGTTGCTGCTGCAAAAATGGCTAGGTAAGAGACACATTTATTTTTGTAATTATATTATTCAAATGCTATTATGATTGTGTTTAGTTTTTAATTAGTGAGTTTGTTTTTTTGTAGTGATTTTAGAAGATTTGAACTAGTTGTTCGGTGGAAATCGGAGAAAGTAGAGGATAATTTGGGTGTCAAATTCGTTGGTGGTAGTAGTTTTCAGTTGACGGTTCCATCCAGAGTCACATATCACAAACTTTGTGAGACTCTAATTCCGAGAATACGGCGCAGAGACGAAGCAGTAAAAGATAGTGATGTGATCACAGGTTTCACTTACCGTCTTCCAGAATGGCAGAATGATGTTTTATTTCATTATGCGTTACCTATTGTGGATGATGATAGCTTGGATGTGCTTTGGAATTTTATGGCACAAAATCCTTATTGTTTGGGTGCTGAGATACATGTTGAGCTCAGTGATGATCAGGGTGGAGAGGAAGAAGATGATACATGGAGCGTGCCATCCGATCATGACTATGATCACGGTGATGACGGAGAGGAGGAGGAGGAGGAGGAGGAAGGAGAGCAACTTAATTATCCTCCATATTTTTACTTGCAGGGCAATGAAGATGACGAAGAATTTGCACTTGCTGATTCATATGGCGTAATTCCAATGCCTATTGTTGATAGTTTTGAAGGAGAATTCTACAAGGGGCAGATATTTCACTCGAAACAAGCTGCACAGATGGCGATTAAACACCACGCACTACAACGCAACTTTCTATGTGGCGTGGTGGAGTCGTCACCTTCAATATGGAAGGTCAGATGTTTGAGGCACAAGGATGACAATTGTCCTTGGATGGTGCGGTTTGGATGTCGAGATGTTGGGGGCGAATGGACTGTGAGAAAAGCTGAGTTGGTGCATTCTTGTAGCAGTACGACTCAACCGACGGATCATCGCCATCTTGATGTCGACATGATATCTGAGGCCGTCAAACATTTGGTACGTGCCCAACCAAATCTGAGTGTTCTAACTGTTCAAGCCGAGTTGAAAGATAAGTTTAATATGCAAGTTACTTACAAGAAGGCTTGGTATGGGAAACAAAGAGCATTGGAGAAGTTGCATGGAAATTGGGAAGAATCCTACGATTTTTTGCAAACATTCTTGCGGGTGGTCAAGAGAAAAATGCCAACATCGGTGATTGATTGGGTAACAGTTCCTTCGACTCAACCTGGTCATTTAATATTTCAGCGAGTATTCTGGGCTTATGGACCTTGTATAGATGGATTCAAGAATTGTCCAGGCGTCATGGTTGTGGATGGAACATTTCTTACTGGGAAGTATAAAGGAGTGCTACTCATGGCGAGCTCATTTGATGGCCGGAGGAAGATTTTTCCAATTGCATTTGCCATAGTGGAGAGCGAGAATACTGAGAGTTGGCCATGGTTCATGAGGAAGGTTCAGGGTTTGACTGATCGAAATGATGTATGCATCATCTCAGATAGACATGCAGGACTCTATGAAGCCATGAATAACATCGGAAGAGGTTGGGAGTGGAGGTGGTGCATGCGACACTATGCAAGCAATTTGCAAAGGAAGACTCGAAGCAAAATTATGTATAATCAACTATTTCGAGTCGGTAAGCTTTCTTCATTTAATTTTGTTATTTGTTTTCATGTAATTTTGTCATGAATTTATCTAACACGTGTTGTGGTTTATTTTGTTAGCCGGAGAAAAACGGTTGGAGAAGTTTGATCGTCAAGTTGAGCAATTTAAGAAGGTGGCCGCTGATAGAAATATTTCATGTGATAACTGGGTGGATCAACATCAGATTCGTTGGAGTTTAGCACATGATAACTACAATGGTGGAGGTCGTTGGTCTATCCTGACATCCAACATGGCAGAAAGCGTCAATGGTGTTTTCAAAGGTATTCGTGCACTTCCGATAGCTTCTCTTGTGCAGCATACCTATTGGCGATTGGTGGAGAAATTCGATATGTATAGGTTGGAGACAGGAGCAGAAATTAGAAGTGGCGGTTCACAGTACTCCAACAAGTGCGAAGAGCTAATGAAGTACAGGTCACAAAAGGCAATTGGGCATTCTGTGACAGCTCTTGATCGAGGTCAAGGCATCTATGTAGTTCAGACTCCTCCCAACAATTTCAACATGACAGGGTCAAACACACTCACAGTTCACTTTGACGATCAAAACCGGGCAGGATTTTGCACTTGTGGTAAATTTCAAGGAAATAAAATTCCTTGCTCTCATGCCATTGCAGCTTGCAACCGAATGGGGGCTAATGCGTATAGGTTTGTCAACAATGTCTACAAGCTGGAAACAGTGATGGCTTGTTATGGGACAAGTTTCGCACCTCTTGGTGAACCTAAGGGTTGGAAGAAACATAATGGTCCTATTCTCCATCCTAATGTGCACATGATTAGGAAGCCGGGGAGGCCACGAGTTACAAGGATCCACAACGAGATGGACTGGCCAAGGGAGGGTGCATCACACCAAGTGTGCAGCAACTGTAACCAAGCGGGACATAATGCATCAACTTGCGGCGGCCAAGCTAGTAGGAGTGGGAGCAACCGAGGAGGGAGTGGTGGCCAACGAAGTACGAGAGGTGGTAGAAGAGGAAGTAGAGGTAATAGACGTGGCTGAGAGGTGGTAGAAGTTGTTATATTTCTTTTGATTTACCATGTAAAAGTTGTTGTTTGTTTGAGATGTTGTTGTTTGGTATGTTGTTGTTATCTTTTGATTTACCATGTAAAAGTTGTTTGTTTGAGATGTTGTTTGTTTGAAATGTTGTTGTTTGAGATTTTCAGATGTTTATGCTTGAGATGTTGTTGTTTGTTTATAGTACATAATAATAACAATCCAAAAATAATAGTCTGAATGAAGTACATAATAATAACAATCCAAAAATAATAGTCTGAAGGAAGTACATAATAATAACAATCCAAAAATAATAGTCTGAAGGAAGTACATAATAATAACAATCCAAAAATAAACGTCTGAAGGAAGTACATAATAATAATAGTCTCACTGATGATCACCACGACGACCACCACGACGACCACCACGACGACCACCATGCTCCACCGCTAGATGGCCGCCGGTACCACACCTAGCAGGCACCCTGATGCGCACTGGTCTACCATCATACTCCTGTGGCTCATCTTCCTCAACTCCACCATCCTGGTCCTGTGTACCGAACATCTCATCCTGCTGAGACTGAAGATGCTCATCAGGCTGACCGCCACCACTACGCTGAGACTGAAGGTGCTGCTCATGGATCCACATCGTCTCCCTAAACACCTCATCACCCTCTTGCCACAGGTCGGGAGACGCCGCTGCTCTAGTATCACCACCTGATGCCATGTTTCCCCTCGTAGCATGCTGCGGTGTATGGAAGCTATCCTCTGGCTGATAGAAGCTCGATGACGGATCTGACTGAAACTGCTGTCGTCGCGGCGGCTGAAAGCTCGAGGAAGGATCTGACTGAAACTGCGTCCGAGGCGGATTAAACTGGAAGCTCCTCGATGTAGGCCGGATGGGCTGTGCTCGCTGTCGATCGGAAACCCGAAATGGGTTAGGTGCATCACGATGCTCACGTCTCTGTCTACGTGGCCTATGCTCCTGTCTGAACTGTGGCTCTGGGACGACCCAGCCCGGTGTCGGATCAGTACGCTCTGGCCAGGCAGTCATGACGGGCCCCTCATAATGGGGCTGTACAGGTACTGTGAGATCAGGGTATCTACGATCCTCAAACCCTAGAGCAGCAACCCCGGATGCCATAAAGTTGGCCAAGTCCTCACACTGGTCGGGGGTCAGCCCTCCAGACCGTACACCGTCACGCAAACTCACCTCAGCATGCTCGATAGTGTCGTACTAAAAAACACCAAAAAAAATGTCAGATATTTCACACAAATAACAACAAATTAAGCAAATAAATCAAATAACTAACCAACGCCTCTGCTGCAGCTCCTCTCCGTGTGCCGGATCGTCTGGTGACATCTCTATACCACTCCATATGCTCCGAGTGGTAGGCTAACTCCTCATCAGTATATGGAGCCGTCGCTACAAACTCGTGTCGACGGTTCCAGAAAGCAATCGACTCTCTGGAGGCGTGTACCAACTGCTGCCCACGCGATGGCCCACGAGTAGCCTGGCGAAGAAAAAACCTAACCTCAGCCTCAGAATGTGGCTGATGAGGCTCATGCTGTCTCATGCCAAACTGCCGGAGCACGCGGTCTGGATGATGCCACATCACCGATGAAAAGCAGATAAGTGGCACTACTGCTCGAAATGTCTCCGACTGTAGCACACTACCTCTGAGATGAAGTGCTCTCTCAAAGTAAGGTTGCCACTACATTAAATCCAAAAATTATCGTTATTATCCCTAAATCTAAAAAAATAAAACAAATGAAAACTATTATATAAAATGAAATGTTATATACTAACCACCACGGTGTCCATCGCGTCAAACCACAGCTTGTACTGGAATAGCTGGTCACCATACTGACGACTGTTGGCCGAAAGCCATCGAAGACCACGTGGGAATGCATCCTCGGTGGCCTGTGCCCTCGTCTCCTCGTCTCGAGGTGCCAGATGTGGG